TAAAGAGTCCATAACCTGCATTTGGTCTGTCTTTTATTTTACTTCAGCTCAGACAAACAACCTGAATACCTCTTCTTCTGTTCCTCAAGAAAGACGTTTCATATCAGTTAAAACTGGGGACAGCGTGACTTTCCATTGTTACTGTAAAGGTGATGGAGCTCCACGGTTTTACTGGTATAAGCAAACTTTGGGAGAGAAACCAAGACTCATTTCTACCTTCTATGTATATGAAAACATTCCCACATTTTATGATACATTCAAGAGTGATCCAAGCTTCACCCTGGATACTGAAACAGGTCAAAACAACTTAATACACACATCAATATTTTCAGAGAGCATTACTGTTGGTGTTAAAGATTTAGATTTGAACATCAAGGCTTTGGTCCAACAATCAGCTTCTGAGACCATCCAGCCAGGAAGCTCTGTGACTCTGAACTGTACAGTACACACTGGGACTTGTGATGGAGAACACAGTATTTACAGGTTCAAAGACTCAGGCGAATCCCATCCAGGACTCATTTACACCCATGGAGGCAGGAATGATCAGTGTGGGAGGAAAGCTAACGAAAGAATACACACCTGTGTCTCTAACTTGACAATCACCAGCCTGAATGTGTCTTATGCTGGGACCTACTACTGCGCTGTCGCCTCATGTGGACACATACTGTTTGGAGGAGGAACCACGCTGGTGTTTGGGGGTAAGTAACAGTATAGAACCCAAATCAGTTGCTGATATTATACCATCAAACTTAAAAGAAAACATAAAATAAAGAGAAGTCTATGTTCAGGATGCCTTGGTCTTTACAGATGAGGCAAAATCTCTTGTCTTGGTCGGAGCGGCACGCTCTGTTTTGCGTAACTATTTTTAAATTCCTGTAGAACTGGAACCACGTAAGCGAGCACAATAATTTTTTTTGCACATGAAACCGGAGGAGTTGTACTTACATCTTATACCATCAGCTTGTCCTAAGTCAGGGTTTCTTTCCACATATGGCTTGGCAAAAACAACATAAAAAGCACTTGCAGCAACAAAAACATAATATTCCAGAAACACGCTTTGCAGATCCGATCAGCTGTTCTTGTTCTCGTTGGATTAGACGTCAGCGTGAACTATTGCGTGTCCACCATTACCTGGCCAAAACCGGAAGTGACATCATTTTTGCGGAAAATGTAGTTTTTTATCTTCGGGGCCTTATAAGCCTATACTGGTGTTTTTAAAACTCATATTTGGCTTTATGCTTTTCTGTATAGTTTCTGGGATGCTTAGAGCTCAAATTGCACTGCTGGTCATAGTTTATTTTTGCTGTTTTTTGGCAAATTTGCATTATAATATTTATTTTTGTTTTTTCTGCAGTATATTAAAATTGGTGTATCTCAACAATAAAACTATGAAAACACGCA